TGGCATGATTTCTTCAGGCTCTGTGAGTTTTGCTCTACTGGAAATTATTCTTCAAATCTTAACATTTTCTCTGTGAGACCCTTTTTTTTTTTTTTAAACCATGAATTCCATTTACAACCCATAGATAGATAGATAGGTAGTACTTTAAGTTCTGGGGTACATGTGCAGATCCTGCAGATTATTGCCTAGGTACACAACATGCCGTGGTGGTTTGCTCTCTTCATCCCCCCATCACCTACACCAGGCATTTCTCCCACGTTATATCTCCCCAACCTCCCCGCCCCCCGGTGTCCCTCCCCTAGCCCCCCGCCCCCCAAAAGACCCCAGTGTGTGATGTTTCCCTGCCTGTGCCCATGTGTTCTCATTGTCCAACACCCACCTATGAGTGAGAGCATGTAGTGTTTGGTTTTCCGTTCTTATGTCAGTTTTCTGAGAATGATGGTTTCCAGATTCATCCATGTCCCTGCAAAGGACAGGAACTTATCTTTTTTTTTATGGCTGCATGGTATTTCATGGTGTGTATGTGCCCCATTTTCTTTGTCCAGTCTATCATTGATGGGCATTTGGGTTAGATCCAGATCTTTGCTATTGTAAACAGTGCCGCAATGAACATATGTGTGCATATGTCTTTATAATAGAATGATATATAATCCTTTGGGTATATACCCAGTAATGGAATTGCTGGGTCAAATGGAATTTCTATATCTAGATCCTTGAGGAATCGCCACACTGTCTTCCACAATGGTTGAACTAATTTACACTCCCACCAACAGTGTAAAAGTGTTCCAATTTCTCCAAATTCTCTCCAGCATCTGTGAGACCTTCTTTACTTCTCTTTGGCTGAATTAGGAGTTTCTGCCTCTAAATTTTTCAATTTCCATATACTTCACTAGAGCAATTTATGTACGGTTGACTCCAATAATATGGGTTTGTATTATGTGGGTTCACTTATATGTGTATTTTTTTCAAGAAATATATTGGAAATTTTTTGAGATTTATGACAATTTGAAAAAACTTGCAGATAAAACATGTAGCCTAGAAATATGAAAAAATTAAGAAAGAGGTATGTCATTAATGAATAAAATAATATATAGATAATAGTCTATTTTATCATCTGCTAACATAAAATATACACAAATCTATTACAAAAAGTTAAAACGTATCAAAACCTGTGTACACAGTCACTTACAGACTGTACATGGCGTCATTCTCAGGAGGAATGCAGAAAAACATAAAGATGCAGTATTATTAAATTATAACAGCATAAAGTTAACTGTAGTACATACTGTACTACTATAATACTTTCAGAGCCACCTCCTATTGCTTTTGTGATGAGTTCAAGTGTTTCAGGTGTCTGCTTAAAACATCATGTGACGCTGGTCATCTCTGCGTAAGCAGTTTGTCTCTCCAGTAAATTGCATATCACAGTAAAAAGTGATCTGTTGGTGGTTCTCATGTAGGTTTCATCATGTTTAGTGCAATACTGTAAACCTGGAGTAACACCACGAGGCCCATGCAGAGTGCCACTAGAGATGCTGGAAGTGCTCCTCAGAAGCAAAGTCATGACATTGTATGAAAAAATTATATCGCTTGATATGCACCATAGATTGAAGTCTGCAGCTGTGGTTGCCCCATTTCAAGATAAATTAATCCAGTATAAAGACCATTGTACAAAAAGAAAAGGAAATTTATAAAGCCATCACTGCAGCTGTGCCAGCATGTACAAAAACTTAGTTTGCACAATATCTTTTTATCTGTCATGGAAATGCCGGTTTTATGTGGGTACAGGATTTCTATAAGAAAAGCATATCTGTAGACTCTAATATAATTTGAGAAAATAAAAAGTCATCTTATGACAACTTAAAAGGAAAATGAAGGATCTAAAGCTGGGGAATTTAATGCCAGCAAAAGATGGTTTGGTGATTTTAGAAAGATATTTGACTTTAAAAATGTCAAGATAACAAGAGAAGCAGCTTCTATTGACCAAGAGGCAGTAGACAAGTTCCAAGATGCCATTAAGAAAAGTATTTAGGAGAGGCAGGGTGTGGTGGTGCATACTTGTAATCCCAGGACTTTGGGAGGCTGAGATAGGCAGATCGCGTGAGGTCAGGCATTCAAGACCAGCCTGGCCAACATGGAGAAACCCCATCCCTACTGAAAATACAAAATTAGCTGGGCATGGTGTTGCACGCTGCTAATTCTGGCTACTCTGGAGGCTAAGGCATGAGAATAGCTTGAATCTGAGAGGCAGAGGTTACAGTGAGCCAAGATCACGCCAGTGCATTCCAGCTTGGGTGACAGAGTGACTCCATCTCAAAAAACAAAAAGAGGAGGGGAGAAAATTATTTAGAAGAAAGGATATCTGCCTGAATAGGTTTTTAATGTAGATGTAAGTTCTCTCTTCTGGGGGAAGAAGTGCCACAAAGGACATTTATTATTAGGGAAGAGAAGTGAGCACCAGGGTTTGATGCAGAAGGGGATAGGCTAACTACTGTTTCATGCAAATGTACTCAGGTTTATAATCAGGACTGCCGTTATCTATAAAGCTGCCAACTCACGAGATTTGAAGGGAAATGATAAACACCAACTGGTAGTCTTTTGGTTGTGCAACAAGAAGGCCTGGACAATGAGAACCCTTTTACTAGACTGGTTCCACTGATACTTTGTCCCTGAAGTTAGGAAGTACCTTCCCAGAAGAGACTGCCTTTTAAAGTTTTTTTTGATGTTGCACAATGGCTCTGGCCACCCAGAACCCCATGAGTTTAACACCAAAGGCATCAAAGTGGTCTCCTTGCCTGCAAACACAATGTCTCTGATTCAGCCTCGAGATGCATGCAGTCATAAGGACCTTTAAGGCTCATTACACATGAGTACTCTATGAAAAGGATTTTCAGCGCAATGGAAGAGAACCCCAATAGCGAGAACATCATGAAAGTCTGAGAGGATTAGACCATTGAAAATGCCATCATTGTTATAGAAAAAGCCATGAAAGTCATCAAACCCGTAACAAGAATTCCTACTGGAGAAAACTCTGTCCAAATGTTGTGCATGACTTTACAAGATTTACAACAGTCAGTCAAGGAAATCATGAAAGATATTGTGGATGTGGTGGAAAAGGTTGGGAGTGAAAGGTTTTAAGATACAGATCTTGGAGAAATTCAAGAACTAATAGACACCACACAAAGGAAGTAACGGAAGATGACTTGATGGAGATGAGTGCTTCAGAACCAGTGCCAGAAAATGAGGAAGAAGACACAGAAGAAGCAGTGTTAGGAAACAGTTTGACATGAGATAATCTGACAGAAGGGTTCTGATTATTCAAGACTGCTTTTGTCTTCTTTTATGACATGGACCCTTCTGTAATATAAAGCAAATGGAAGAAGGATTGACACTGTATAGAAGCGTTTTTAGAGACAAGAAAGAAATGTATAGAAACATTTTTAGAGACAAGAAAGAGCATAAAAGTGAGAGAGAAATTACCACATGTTTCCATAAAGTTGACCAAGTTTGCCTCTCCTGCCTTCCCTCCCAACTCCTCCATCTCTTCTGCCTCCACCATCTCTGGGAAGACAAGACCAATCCCTCCTTTTCCTTCCCCAACTCAGCCTACTCAGTGTGAAGATGGTAGGGTGAAGACCTTTATGATAATCCACTTCCACTTGATGAGTAGAAAATACAATTTTCTTTTTCTTACGATTTTCGTAATACTATTTTTCTTTAGATTACTTTATTGTAATAATACAGTATATAATACAACATAAAATATGTGTTAATTGAGTATATTATTGGTAAGTCTTCTACTCAACAGTAGGCTATTAGTAATTAAGTTTTGGAGAAGTCAAAAGTTATACATGGGGCCAGGCATGGTGGCTCATGCCTGTAACCCCAGCACTTAGGGAGTCTGAGGTGGGCAGATCACTTGAGCCCAGGAGTTTGAGGCCAGCCTAGCCAACACAGTGAAACCCCATCTTACTAAAAATAGAAAAATTAGCTCGGCGTGATGGCACATGTTTAAAACCCAGCTACTCAGGTGGCTGAGACACAAAAATAGCTTGAACCCAGGAGGCAGAGGTTGCAGTGAGCCAAGAGATGCAATGAGCCTCACTCTGTCACCATTGCACTCACTCCAGCCTTGGTGACAGAGTGAGACTCTGTCTCAAAACAAAAAGAAAAGTTATACATGGATTTCCAACTGTACATGGGTGAATGCTCCTAACCTCCATGTTATTCAAGGGTTAACTGTAATTGAAATTCTTCATTTTCCTATTCCTTTCTAGGATATTTTATAAGTTTCTTGTGGTTAAAACCACCTTCATCTTAGATAAACAATACATATTTGTTGAATGAAATGTTATCCAGAAGCCTCTGGATAACAACAGAGGCTTGTAGCAGTTAGTCTATCATCATGTCACACTTTTAGGAATAAGACCTGATATATGCAATTTTGAAAGAAAAGGAAAATCTGGTAGTAGTCACCATTTTATGACTCAGCAGTTCTTTGTAGGCATTCACCCAATAAAAAAATTTGGAGTGGACTAGGGAAAATATTTTCTAAGATGACGTATTTCCCCCACCTTGTGTAAAAAGAAAAACATTGAGTTTAATATTAATAATTAAAGTTTACAGCTGGGCGCGGTGGCTCAAGCCTGTAATCCCAGCACTTTGGGAGGCCGAGGCGGGTGGATCACGAGGTCGAGAGATCGAGACCATCGTGGTGAACATGGTGAAACCCCGTCTCTACTAAAAATACAAAAAATTAGCTGGGCATGATGGCACGTGCCTGTAATCCCAGCTACTTAGGAGGCTGAGGCAGGAGAATTGCCTGAACCCAGGAGGCGGAGGTTGCGGTGAGCCGAGATCGTGCCATTGCACTCCAGCCTGGGTAACAAGAGCGAAACTCCGTCTCAAAAAAAAAATAATAATAAAATAATTAAAGTTTACTTACAAAACACAGGAGATGGAGAAAAATGTACTTTTATTTATTTTTTTTTTTTCTATAGGAGAAACTAAAACTTAACTATGAGGAAAAGTATGAAACTCTGGAATCCCAGTTGAAGTTTTTGAGGTAAAGTGAAATCATCCATTTATAGTCACACCAAAAGCATAATGACCTTAAAATATATTTCAGTGTTTGCTGAACTACTTTTAGTCTTTATCAGACTTACTTGATGACCCTTTTATGTAAAATATAAAAAATTTCCTCAGATTGGCCGGGCCCGGTGGCTCAAACCTGTAATCCCAGCACTTTGGGAGGCCGAGGCAGGTGGATCACGAGGTCGAGAGATCGAGATCATCCTGGTCAACATGGTGAAACCCCGTCTCTACTAAAAATACAAAAAAACTAGCTGGGTGGTGCGTGCCTGTAATCCCAGCTACTCAGGAGGCTGAGGCAGGAGAATTGCCTGAACCCAGGAGGCGGAGGTTGCGGTGAGCCGAGATCGCGCCATTGCACTCCAGCCTGGGTAACAAGAGCGAAACTCCGTCTCAAAAAAAAAAAAAAAAAAAAAAAAGACAGCAGGAATTAATATTTTTGTTGTTAAAGATTTTTTTAAATAGTGGTAATGAAGTATTTCTAAATCAAATAAACTTTCAAATACTGTGTATAATTTTATTTTAATAAGTCCAATTTGAAATTAATTTTAAAATCTTCCAGGCCATATCCTACCTAGAGACATAACTAGAGTAATACTAAGAGCCAGAGCTCAGCAAGATGCAGTGGCTCACGCCTGTAATCCCAACACTTTGGGAAGCCAAGGCAGGCATATCATTTGAGGTCAAGAGTTCAAGAACAACCTGGCCAACATGGTGAAACCCTGTCTCTATTAAAAATACAACAATTATCTGAGTGTGATGACACATACCTTCTGTCCCAGCTGCTCAGGAGGCTAAGGCAGAATCGCCTGAACCCAGGAAGGGGAGGTTGCAGTGAGCCAAGATCACTCCACTGCACTCCAGGCTGGGTGACAGAGGGAGACTCCATCTCAATAATAATGATAATAATAATAATAATAATAATGAAGCCAGAGCTCATAGCTTTCACTGTATATGCTTATTTATTTTTTAAATGTTCTTATGTTTTTCATAGATGACCCTGATTAGTTTTAGGATTTCTCTAGAGGTTTTTACTTTTTCATAAAGAAACGTAATATTTTAAAACTCTAATTTTTGCTTTCATGCTTTTTGTCCTACTTTTTTTTTATGACTTGATTCTTCAGTTTTTGAAGTAATGTATTTCTACATCACTGTACTTACAGGAATGTGACTTATTTTGTCTCATTCAGAGTCCAGATATTTCATCTTTAATTATATTAAATACCAACTTATAATGAACTAGACTTTGTTCTCTTCATCCTTCTATTTCTTCATTTTCTTTTACTATAATTTAAGATTATTTAAATAGGCATTTAATCAGTCTTCTTTTTAACTTTTTCTTTTGCCATTTCTAGTAACCAAATCTACTTGAGTGTTTTGAGTTTGGAGCTGACCGAAATTAGTAATGGGGACCCCTTGACTTCAGAATGTGCATCTCAAGTTCTTTCTATAAAGCTTTTGAAAGTCAGACATTCTCTACATGATACTGAAAAAGAAAACTTCTCAAGTTTGTTATTATTTTGGGGATAGGGTAGAAGCGGCTCCTTATTTCCCCCTCAACTCTGGAATGCCATTAAATTAGCTTTTTTTTTTTTTTAATCCTTAGATTGCCTGTGGGTCTTTTCTGCCTCTCCTGGGTTGCTTGAAAGCCCCCAAAATCTCAGCAGTTCTTTTGACAGCCAGGCTGTTGGCTTCTCCTTTGTGACAGGGAGCCAGTTAAGATGGCCATAGCCCCTAGGCACAGAGACGCTGACAACAACAGGGAGTGGGCTGAGATAGAGATCAAGTACCTGCCTTCCGTAGTCTCCTGTTTCAGCTAGAAAGTTATTTTTAAAAATATATATATATATAGGCCAGGTGCAGTGGCTCACGCCTATAATCATAGCACTTGGGGAGGCCAAGGCAGGCAGATCATGAGGTCAAGAGATCGAGACCATCTTTGTCAATGTGGTGAACCCCGCCTCTACTAAAAATACAAAAATTAGCTGGATGTGGTGGTGCACACCTGTAGTCCCAGCCACTTGGGAGACTGAGGCAGGAGAATCACTTGAGCCAGAGGCAGAGGTTGCAGTGAGCTGAGATGACGCCACTGCACTGCAGCCTGGGTGACAGCAAGACTCTGTCTAAAAAAATATATAGATATAGACATAGATATAGATAAAGATATAGAGAGAAAAAACAAAAGAGACATCTAGTCAAGGAAGCTCAGTTGCCAAGCTGACTTTACTGGGATAAGGTAGGAAAATACAACCCATGTATCAGTCATTTAATTCTTAGAAAGTCACCTGGGAGAAAAACTTCATCCAGACGTGAGCTGATAAAGTAAAAACCAACAAACATCACACCCACACTCACACTCACCCCTCCCCCACACTCACCCCTCCCCTGCCCCCACCATTCCGCAGCCCTTTCGTTAGCAGCCCACATGTTTCCAGCTAATAGCTACTACCTGTGAAGTCTTATGACTGGCTAGTTCTGTGTAACTTCCTTCTGTAGCTTACTTTGTTTTGAAACAGCTCTTTGTAGAATTTTGTTATTACATAATTTGTGATGTTTTCCTTCTGAAGAAAAATGGGCAGTAATAAACTAGTGTTAGATAAAAATCCCTGGTTTTGTTGTTGCTGCTGCTGCTGTTGTTGTTGTTGTTGTTGAGACAGAGTCTTGTTCTATCACCGAGGCTGGAGTACAGTGGGGCAATCTTGGCTCACTGCAACCTCTGCCTCCCGGGTTCATGCAATTCTCTGCCTCACCCTCCTGAGTAGCTGAGATTACAGGCATCCACCACCATGACCACCTGATTTTTTTGTACTTTTAGTAGAGATAGGGTTTCACCATCTTGGCCAGGTTGGTCTTGAACTTCTGATCTCGTGTTCTACCCGCCCAGCCTCCCAAAGTGCTGGAATTACAGGCCTGAGCCACCACACCCAGCAGAAAATCCATGTTTTTTTATGTGAACTTTTAAGGTACTCTAAAAATTTTAAGACGTTAATACTTGAAATAGGGTATTTTCCTCACCCCACGTATGTTGTGTTGTTTTATTAGCCCACCCCTTTATTAAGAAAAACTATTTGGGATTTAGGTTTGGAGTTTTATGTCTGTTTTGTGGTTAATATAACATTAATGGAGATGGGATCCTGTGACAAGAGAGCCAGTATCAGGCAGAGTCTAATCTATATTAAAATCTTACAAGAACCTGAGCTAATTATTCAGTACATTCAAGTCTCATCATGTTCAACGTGTCAATTAGGATCACCCCACCAAAGTTTCAGGATTGTGGTAAAAATAAGACATTGTGTGTAAACTAAAGCAGAAGGTGAATCCCCATAAATGACAGTAGTAGTTAACATTGTGATAATTCATTTTAAAATCATGTCATTTTACCTGGTCATTTTCTGGAATTTTTTTTCCCCCTTCTTTTTAGGAAAGACTTAGCTGAGTATCAGAAAACTTGTGAAGATCTTAAAGAGCAACTAAAGCATAAAGAGTTTCTTCTGGCTGCTAATACTTCTAACCGTGTTGGGGGTCTTTGTTTGAAATGTGCTCAGCATGAAGCTGTTCTTTCCCAAACCCATAATAATGTTCACATGCAGACCATTGAAAGACTGATTAAGTAAGTATGCTTCTACGCATGGAGTCTTTGGCCATATGGAAAATTATGTCTTTAAAGGGGCATTGTGTTCTTTTCACCCCATGCTAAGTCACATGTGATTATTATCTTCAAATACAATGGATTTTAAAAGGTTCCTTCTTTGGGAGCTCCCTTGAAGACAAATGGGTAGGTTCTGCCAACTATGGGAAACCATGTCACTTTGAACAAATAATAGTATCTCTCGGTTTCAGTCCATCTTCAAGTGAGAGAACCGAACTAGACAGTCTACAATTCTGTCCAGTTCTATGACTCTATACTTACAAGTCAGTACTATTCTTAACAAAACTAGGTGTAATAGAAATTCTTTGGTTTTGCCATATCTTGGATTTTTCTGCTGTACTTCAGGTGAAATGAGTTATGACCATGTCTTCACCATGTGTCTGTTGTAAGGAATAGTATAAGGACCCCCTGTATCCCAGTATTGCTCTTTGAGATACTTAGTTAAGAGCAATATTGTATCCCAGTATCGCTGTTAACTAAGAACACATTACAGATGACCTTTTGTGTCAGCGTTTCCATCTAGGCTGGAGTGAAACAAGTCTCTGTGTACGTCTATTTTGTTCTGTTTTCACTTCACTATTCCAGTGGAAGCCTTTTCCTGTGAAAATGTTATTCAGTGGAAATTGAGAATTATTATGTAATGTAGAATCCAGTGGTAGTTTATAGTGTATGTCCTTCCATGCCCCTACTTTTCCCTGTGCTCACCTCTCTGTCTGCTCTGCTAACTTAAATAACCCCAAATCACTTCCTTTTAGAAGTCTCTCACCAGCCTTACCCCATTTTGTCCTTAACTGCCTTAGGTTGCTTTCTTCTGTGATTTTATGATACATCGTGTACACCTGGAGGCAGCAATTGTGTTTTGTTTCTTTCTGTAGCCCTTGTTCCTAACAGATTGGCTGGCTGGTGGTAGGCACCCAGTACGTGTTTGCTGTTATGTGACAAGGCGTTCTGGCATTGACTGCTCCACAGTCAGAGATCCTCCGGTTGGAATTGGTGTGGAGGAGTGACATGACTGTGGTCATTAAGGTCAGACCAATTTTTCTCCATTCCTGACCTTCAACAAATGACTTTTCTTCTCTGATCCTGGAGTCTTCTGTTGTTTGGAGTAATAATGCCTGCTTCTTGAGATTTAAGATCTTTTGGGGATTTTACTGAGGCAGGGTAGCCTGTGACAAGGAGAACTGCTTTTGAAGCTGACTGCTTGGGTTCATTCTGGTCCTACTGCTAACTTACCATGGAATCCTGCAGAAGCTACTTAACCTTTCTGTGCTTCCGTTTTCTCATTTGTGAACTAGTGATGTGAGTGGTTTAAAACTCATAGAGTTACCTTGAGGGGTCACTAGAGAAAACCTGTGTAGTGCTTAAAACACTTCCTGACATATAGTAAATGCTCAATAAATATGAAAACCGTTCTGTACCTTCCATTCTCCCAAGAATGATCAATATGTCTTGCAGCTGTGGTGTCCACACATGGCTAACCTACTGTTGGTGGCAGGAGACCAGGGGAGCACAGGGAGTAGTTTGTTGCTGTTGTTTTTGAGTTGGAGTCTCACTCTGTTGCCAAGGCTGGAATGTAATGGCACGATCATAGCCCACTGCAACTTTGAAGTTCTGGGCTCAAGTGATCCTCCTGCCTCGGCCTCCTGAGTAACTGCAGGCATATGCCACCACACCCAACTAACTAAAAATTTTTTTGGTAGAGATAGGTGTCTGACTGTGTTGCCCAGGCTGGTCTTGAACTCCTGGCCTCAAGTGATCCTCCCACTTCAGCCTCCCAAAGTATTGGGATTATAGGCATAAGCCACCATACCTACCTAACCTACTGATTGTTGTATGAACATAGAATTTCCAGTGTGGACTTACTGGTAGTTTTTATGATCTATATTGCTTGTTCTATTTTTGTTAAGTATTTTAATTATTAAATATGTTGTTAATTTATTCATATATATTCAATATAACTATTAAATATATATTAAGACCAGGTGCGGTGGCTCACTCCTGTAATCCCAGAACTTTAGGAGGCCAAGGTGGGTAGATCACGAAGTCAGGAGTTCAAGACCAACCTGGCCAAGATGATGAAACCCCATTTCTATTAAAAATACAAAAATTACCTAGGTGTGGTGGTGGGCACCTGTAATCCCAGCTACTCAGGAGGCTGAGGCAGAGAATTGCTTGAAACAGGGAGGCAGAGGTTGCAGTAAGCCAAGATCACACCATTGCACTCCAGCCTGGACAACAGAGGAAGACACTATCTCTAAATAAATAAATAAATAAATAAGTAAACAAATACAGACTATTTTCAGATACAACTAACACATGTAGTGAACATTTTTTATTTTATTGTATTTTAAGATGGGGTTTCACCATATTGGCCAGGCTGGTCTCGAACTCTTGACCTAAGGTGATCCACCCACCTCGGCCTCCCAAAGTGCTAGGAGGTGGGTGGATTACAGGCATGAGCCACCATGCCCAGCCAACATTTATTATATGTCAAGGACTGTGCTAGGCAATTTAAGAACATAATTTTTAAAAATCTTAATAAAACATTCATGAGGAAGATTTTTACCCCCATTTTATAGTTAGGGAAATTGAGGTTCAGTGAAGTTAAAAATTTGCCTGTTTATACAGAACTATACCTTACAAAAATAAATTCATGGCAGTTTAAAAGTTCAGATATAATTCAGACTATAAAAGCATTAGAAGTAAATATTAAAAATATCTTATAGTTGTGGGTTATAGTCGTAGGGATGACATGAAAAGTGGAAGTCATACAGGAAAAAAAGATACATTTGTTTCTATTTAAAAAATAAATTTCCTGACAGTAAAACGTTACAGGCCAGACGCGGTGGCCCACCCCTGTAATCCCAGCACTTTGGGAGCCCGAGGCAGGCAGATCACCTGAGGTCAGGAGTTCAAGACCAGCCTGACCAATATGATGAAATCTCATCTCTACTAAAAATACAAAAATTAGCCAGGCATGGTGGCATGCATCTGTAATCCCAGCTACTCAGGAGGCTGAGACAGGAGAATCACTTGAACCCGGGAAGCAGAGGTTGCAGTGAGCTGAGATCGTGCCATTGCACTCCAGCCTGGGCAACAAGAACAAAACTCTGTCTCAACAATACAAACAAACAAACAAAAAACATTACATATTCAGTTAAAAGTCTGAGAAAAAATATTTGCAGTATACATAAGACCAATAGAATAAATGAATAATTTCCTTTGAAACAAAATAGACAAGCTGCCTAGTTGCAAAGTAGGTAAAGAATAGAAATTAGTGGGCAATAAAAGAGGAAGATGTCAGCATGTGAGAATGTATTTATTAGTATTTGAGGAAATACAATTAAAAAATATTAAAAGCAACCCATCAGACTGACAAAATAGAACAAGATTGACAATCGCAAGAATTGGTGAGGTCATAAGTAAGCAAGTATTTTCATACTCTGCTGGGTTCATCAATTAGTAGAAATACTTTGGAAGTAAATTAGCACTGTTCATTAATATTCAAATTGTACATTTCACTTTTCAAAATCTACCTGCAAGAAAAAACTCACGTACGTGCGTAATGGGGTATGTATAGGAAATTTTTTTTGCAGCATTGTTTTAATGTTGTGAGCAACCTAAATGTCATTCAAAGGAGAGTAACTAAACATGATTTAGATAAACTATGAAATTTTGTGCATGGTATGAAAAACTGAAGTAGTTCTATGTGTATTAATGTTTGACCATCTCCAAAATATATTGTGGCAAGAAAACAAAACAAAATGGCTAAGGATACATCTAGTATGAAACCTCTTGTATTTTTAAAGTCCGTATACAACCATACTACATTTTTCTCCTCCTAGGTTCATAGATATGCATAAAAAAATATTTGAAAGAGTATATTTAACAGCAATTACCACTAGAGAGGTGAAAGAAGGCAATGAAATTGAAAGGGTGTCAAATAGGCCTTTAACAATATTGGTAACTAATTTTACAAGGAGAATATAGTTTAAAAATTAATTTTAGAAAGCATATTAAAAGTTGCAATTAAAAATAGTCAGAGTTTAAAACTAGGTAGTCTAGCAAAACTAGTAAGCCAGACAGAGTGGCTCATGCCTGTAATCCCAGCACTTTGGGAGGCTGATACAGGAGGATCAGTTGAGGCCAGGAGTTTGAGACCAGTCTGGGTAACACAGTGAGACCCTGTCTCTACAAAAAATGTTTTTAAAAAACCTAACCAACAGATAACAAGTTACTATGTTGTCTTTCATATTATCTTTCTAGGTTATGAAAAAATATTTTTAAAGGAAGCTATATGTTTAGGTTGCTTCTAAGCCTGGCAGTCATTCAGAAATTAAGATTCTTGATCAGTTATGTATTCTTTTGTCTCTATCCTAAATTTGAACTCTTAGCCTCTTAAAGTAAATGTCAACCTACTTTGTTCAATTTTCTGCCTTGTCAGCAGATCATTGTTTCATGTTCTGGATTTATAACAGAAAGGTTATTAAACCTATTAACACTGAACAGTTTCTGCTTTTATTGTCAATGAATTTTTTTTCTATATCATTCTCTTGGCCTAAGCTGGTGTTCCGTTTCTTAAACTTATTACTGCAGAATGCTGAATATTGAGTGCTATGCTAATCTGAAGAGTGTCTAGCTCCTTTTAGGTTTGGATTTTTAACTTTATGTATAGTTAGAAGCCTGACCCTTTCATAAGCTGTTACATTCTCTGAATCACTTTAACTTGGAAGTTCAAAAATGATACCTTAAATATGATAAATCAGAAGTTTCCTGGTAAACGTGGTATTGTGACAGCAGCTTTCAGTCCCCTTGTCATATCCTTTAGCATGTAATATTTTGAACATATGTTCATGACACAAGCATGGTTTGATGGCTGGGCACAGTGGCTCACACCTGCCATTTCAGTGCTTTGTGAGGCTGAGGTGGCTGGATCACTTGAGGTCAGGAGTTTGAGAGCAGCCTGACCAATATGGTGAAACCCCATCTCTACCAAAAATACAAAATTAGCTGGACGTGGTGGCGTGCGCTTGTAATTCCAGCTACTTGGGAGGCTGAGGCAGGAGAATCGCGGGAACCAGGGAGGTGGAGGTTGCAGTGAGCCCAGATCACGCCACTGCACTCCAGCCTGGGCAACAAAAGTGAAACTCTGTCTTAGAAAAAAATGGCTTTTATAGTTGACAAGGAGGGAATCAGGCATGACTTGGAGACCAGGCCACCCGTATGTTTCTGGTGGTTTGTTACGACTCAGGGGACTTTTTGGAGGATATGCTTAACAACTGTGGATGACATTGGATATCTTTTCTAAGTTGATTTGAAGTCTTCATATCATTTCTGACCTTTTGCTTTTCACTTGGGCCTCTTTATGTCATAAGGGAGGTAAGAGTAACAGTAGCACCTTTTTCTTGCTTAATTATCAAAATACTTTCACATAGTAATCAAGATGGAACTGCTTTAAATTTCTTTCTGTGTCTCATAGTACCTTGGAGAAGTTTCACTGTACTTTTCAACAAAGAGAAATGATTCCAACGGCGCTATTCTGGGGCTTTAGTCCAGCTTGTGATTTTGGAGTGGATCATTGGCAGTGCTCTGAAGAGTTGGCTTTAAAAGACTTCAGCAGGAACTTCCCAGAAATGAGGAACAAAGAAATGTTGTAGTCAGCCTTCTAGACTTTCTTTTTGAAAACAGTATAGTAACACTTGTTAGTGATGCCTAATAATGCTTAAAATTAATAACAACTGGAGTAATTTAGAAATTATAAGACATTTCTTAGGCATTCCACATTTCAAGATAAAGCGCATGCATATACATTAGACCAACTCTTTCGCTTAAACACTTGGCTGAGTTTATTAAGGGACTTTCTCAGTCCTTTTGGCCCTGATAGTTGCACTAAGTTTCTTAAATATTACATGCTCATTAGTGCATGTAAATACGTGCTTTTCACCCCAGAACACTCATGATCTTTATGTCATCTTTCTGCTCAGCTGTTCTTTCCTCTGGATCATGGAATGTCGCAGGGTTGACACAGTGTGCTGGCTTTGCTTCAGGAAGCTCCTTGATTACATTCATCAGCACATTCACATGGTGTTTCCAAGCACTTACAGAGCTTTTGCCATGGAAGATGCTCATTTGGAGAACTGCTCTTTCACTCTCACATTGCTATGCCACGTGTATCTGTACAGCTTCCCGTTGTGAGAGCCTCATTCAGGTGTGGCTCTGGGTTGGCTCTTTAGACTGCGGGATCTAGAGCAGGACTGTAGCTAACTGGGCAGTTACCCTGGGTGGCTGGGATCGGCTGTTTCTGAAAGGCAGATTAAGTAGCACTGTTAGACCTAAGGGAGAAGTGTGGGGCTAAAAAGTGAAAGATCAAACTGGATGAAGCCAGATGAGCATAGGAATGGAGTAGGAAGCAAGGCCTTATGTCGGAACAGGGGACTGCCAGCCCAGGGCTCTTTGTAAAAAAACTTTTTGTGGAGCTGCTTGCTATTTGGTATATGGACTGGCTGAGTCAAAACAAAACAAAAACAAAACCAAGATTTAGTTACACCTGAGTGGATGAGTGGATAATCCTAAATTGCCAGAATGACTACCTGCAGGCTCCCAGGTGAGCTGAATGCCACCTTGAAGCATGCTCGTATTTACCTTACAGAAAGGTGGAGTGTGTGAGCCCAGAGGTTATGCAGAGTTCAAGTCTAATCGTTTTGTGGTCTCACTGTCGAATGATGGGCTTACCAAGACATCTGTATATTGGAGTTTTATCACTGATAATTTTCTGTGTTTCCATAGTCTAAATTTGGTGAGTTAATATTCCAAACACTTTCAAACCAGAGCAACTGAACTCTAGTTTCTAATTTAAAATAGTTAGATGATGTTTTCAGTTTAGATCATAAAATATCAGAACTGAAAGGGAGCTTTACTTCACCTCTTTTGACACCCTTCTGTAGCAGACTCTATTCATTTATTTGTTTTGTTGTTGTTTATTCTTTTGAGCATCTACTGTGTGACATACACTACTCTTGACAAGAGGATAGTCTGAAAAGAGAGAAAGTATATGAAACATAAGTCTCCCATAAGAAGCGGTTTGTTAGATATTTTTTTTTTTTTGATGGAGTTTTGCTCTTGTTACCCAGGCTGGAGTGCAATGGCGCGATCTCGGCTCACCGCAACCTCCGCCTCCTGGGTTCAAGCAATTCTCCTGCCTCAGCCTCCTGAGTAGTTCGGATTACAGGCATGCGCCACCATGCCCAGCTAATTTTTTGTATTTTTAGTAGAGACGGGGTTTCACCATGTTGACCAGGATGGTCTCGATCTCTCGACTTCGTGATCCACCTGCCTCGGCCTCCCAAAGTGCTGGGATTACAGGCTTGAGCCACCGCGCCCGGCTGATTTGTTAGATTTTTATCCTGTTGTGATCTGTCTGTTTGACGCTGAGCTTTATTCATCATTCGCTTTGTCACCTAGGCTGGAGTGCAGTGGCACAATCTCGTCTCATTGCAACCTCTGCCTCCCAGGTTCAAGCAATTCTTGTGCCTCAGCCTCCCAAGTAGCTGGGACTACAGGTGTGCATTACCACACTCAGCTAATTGTATATTTAGTAGAGACGGGTTTTCAGCATGTTGGTCAGGCTGGTCTTGAACTCCTGACCTCAAGTGATCTGCCCACCCCAGCCTCCCAAAGTACTGGGATTACAGGCATGAGCCACTGTGCCTGGCCTTTTTTTGTTTTCTTCTTATTTGGAACTTTGGCTTTGGTGATTGTATGGTATCTGGAACAGATAAGAATTTCATTGAATAGTTACTTTTGCTCTTCATTAGGTCCTAGAGATTTAAGAAAGGTGAATGTAGGATGCCTATCTTGGCTTGCTGTCCCTAAAGAGGGAATTTTTCTTTTCTTCTAGAATCATAGGTCCTAAGTGTATTGCATATCCTTGATGAAGCCATGTTATAGAGCTTTTATGGAAATGCAAATAGATACACATTCAATTTTGCTGGTGTTTATTTTTTACTGAACTAGGATAATTTAATCCTGCCTTGATTCTTCCACTTTTTCACATAGTAATTGTGTTTGATTATATTTGATCAAAACAATTTACTTCTTTTCATTTCCTTGGAAGAAAAATTAAGTTATTTTTATCAATTTAAAACAAATCAGGAAATTCTAAAGTGAAGATCTGTCTTCTTCCATGAATTTTATATTTGCAGCAATTTATTCTTAAACAAAAGAGCTTTTATGAAACTGCTAATAATTGTAACCTGGTTCAGTATTACATATTTCTTCAAATGTGGCTGCTTTCCAAATACCACAAATAGTTCATTTTATCTTTAAGAGAGGTTTTAAATTGAATCATTGGTTAACTCTGAAAGTAATTCAAGCAGAATTTATAATATTCTAAACTATGACTCTTTAAAACTTGCTAATTTTTTTTTTTAAATCATAGTTGCCTCTTTTGTCATAGTTTAGAACTTAGCAATGAAAAGAGAACTGCAGGAATTTATTTCAACTGAATCTGAAACCGTGGTTTAAACTTCAGCTCTTTAACAAAACAGACAATAGCATGTGTAACAGTCCAGCATACGTATTTTGCTTTCTGTGTCTTGAAAGTTTCCTGCCTCACTTTCTCTTTGGTCTACTGGATATTTTTATTCGGCAGATAAATTCCAAATATCCTAGAATATTCCATATGGGACTTATTTAATCTATGAGATTGTATCCTTGCTAATTTACATGCCAGAGCATTGTGGCCTTCGGTTCACTTCTACCCTCAGTTAACAGCTTAGCGTAGAGTACTTCTGAGAATTGCTGAAGAGGGGTGGGTCTTGGCAACGATGAAACCCAGTGGGATAAGACTGCGTTAAATTGTGAGTGTTACATGCGTAACCAGGGGATTGGAGGAGTTCCGCAGTACTAACCACGGAACAAGTGTTCATAAGTAACTGAAAGAATGGAATTGAAAGAGAAGGGCAAAAAAGAGGATGATGTAGAAAGATAGAAAGGAAAGGACATGCATTTGTTCAAGTAACTGAGAGGAGAATCTGCGGCGTGGACAAAGCCTTAGTCCTTTCTTAAAACGTTGACTGCTACCATGAGATACCATTCCCACCTTCCCTACTTGGTGGCATTTTTTTCTTTTCGGCACCTCCCTCCACTTTTTAAAAACGAATTTGCTCTTTTCTGGGCTTTGCCCCGCAGCCCTCTCCACAATAGACGATTGTCCCCTGCAGAGGCAGGCCTGCCACCAAGGCTCTTAGCCTTTCTGCCTGCTCTGCCTGCCGCCGGCCAAGTGAGGACAGAGGGTCTTTCTCTGGGGTGTGCTTTATTTAATATGTGCTCAGCCGACCTACCCTGGCTCTTCTAATACATATTAATGCTTTTTTCTTCCTGACTTATGAGGACATGATTGTTTGATCATTTCTTGTTTTGAATGTTCTTTCTGTGCTGCAGAGAAAGAGATGACTTGATGTCTGCATTAGTTTCTGTAAGGAGCAGCTTGGCAGAGACGCAGCAGAGAGAAGCAAGTGCTTATGAACAGGTGAAACAAGTTTGGCAAATATCTGAGGAAGCCAGCTTTGAAAAAACCAAGGCAAGTCAAAGAAGATGCAAAGAAGGCATCTTTCTTTTCTTTTTTATTCTGAGTATTTGTTTGGTTATTCTTCTATAACTAAACTCTGTTTTTCAAACACACAAAGTGAATTATCAGTCTGTTAATGTTGACTTCTGAATTAAACAAATTTGCTATTTGGAGAATTCTTATTCCTCTGCAGATGCTCTTGTTACATCACTGTTCAGAGAATGTAGTACGGCATGACACTTAGAGAGACCTATATGCTTCATCTTTTTATTTGCTGATAATTTGCAGTGCTGCAAAAATCTTAACACCGAGGCATTAGTTTGTATATGTTCATATATAACTAAAGACAGATGTTTTTCCTCAATAACTGGGACGTTTTAAGAAAATTCAAATACCAAAGAAATAATATATACATATTTAGTAGCATCTTTTTTTTTTTTTTTTTTTTTTTTTTTTTTAAGGTGGAGTCTCGCTCTGTTGCCAGGCTGGAGTGCAATGGTATGATCTTGGCCCACTACTATTTCCACCTCCCAGGTTCAAGTGATTCTCCTGTCTCAGTCTCCCAAATAGCTGGGATTACAGACACATGCCATCACACCCAGCTGATTTTTGTATTTTTAGTAGAGACAGTGTTTCACCATGTTGGTCAGGCTAGTCTCAAACTCCTGACCTCAGGTGATCTGCCCACCTTGGCCCTCCAAAGTGGTGGGATTATAGGCGTGAGCCACCACGCCTGGCCTTAGTAGCACCTTTGAGTCTGGACTTATTGTAAGGTAACTCAAACATACTTAATGAGAATAACAGTTTATACTTAGTGATCAGGCAGTGTTATAGGCACTTGGAATAGCAGGAGGTTTCTGTGGATTCATTACTGTATTTGGGGGCCGCACCTTAACCATTAAAGTTGCACATATTTTCCCTAGACATGCTAGCATACAGTTCAAGTGCTTATGGCCACGTGTAGCTAATATTGGACAGTGCAGATACAGGACATTTTCATTATGAAAGTTTTGTTATATAGCACTGGTCTAAACCATGTACTAATCTCAGTGTTTTATTAAGATATTAGGGTTACATTACTGGGTATATACAAAGAGGAATATAAATCATTCAGCCACAAAGACACATGCATATGAATGTTCATTGGAGCATTCTTTACCATAGCAAACCTAGACGATAGAATTGATGGAATCAACCTAAATTGATGGAATCAATCTAAATGTCCATCACTGACAGATTGTGTAAAGAAATGTGGTACACAAACACCATGGAATACTATGCAGCCATAAAAAGAGCAAGATCATGTCTTTTGCAGAAACATGCATGGAGCTGGAGGCAGTTATACTTAGCAAACTAATGCAGGAACAGAAAGCCCAAATACTACATATTCTTACTTATAAATCCGAGCTAAAATTTAAGAACTTAATGAGGACAAAGAAACAACAGACAGTGGCATCTACTTGAGGATGGAGGGTGGGAGAAGGGAGAGGAGCAGAAAGGATAGCTATTGGGTACTGGGCTTAATACCTGAAATAATCTATATAACAAGCCCCGGTGATATCAGTTTACCTATGTAACAAACCTTCCCAGGTACCCTGAACCTAAAATAAAAGTTAAACAAATATTAGGGCTCTTCAGTTCTGTATTAAGCCTCTTGTCAGCCATTGCTATATCCATTTGTCTTTATCCAAAATTCTTCCCATTTGACCCTCATGCCTTCTGAGACTTAGGTTCAGTTATGACCAAGCTCCCCAACATACTGTTTCCTCAAACTGTCCTTCTGTTTCTTCAGTGGTTCTGAGCCCTAGCTGGCCCTCGATACCATTCCTTTTAAAACCACCAGCGAGCAGATGCCCTTTTGCCAGTCATTTCATCTCATGTGGGTGTCATGGGGGAAAGAGCAGTGCTTCACTCCTCACTGCCATTTCCAGCGCTCGGTATGGTGCTTACTTTCGGGTGCTATTCCTCTTTGAAATTAGGTGATCACTCTGTGTTGATCTATTTTTCCTTGCTATAAATAGCTGAAGGCAGGATGTGGTGGCTCATGCCTGTAATCCCAGCACTTTGGGAGGCTGAGGTGGGCTGATCACGAAGTCAGGAGTTCAAGATCATCCTGACCAATATGGTGAAATCCTGTCTCTACTAGAAAAAATACAAAAATTAGCTGGACATGGTGGCAGGTGCTTATAGTCCCAGCTACTGGGGAGGCTGAGGAAGGAGAATTACTTCAACCCGGGAGGTGGAGGTTGCAGTGAGCCAAGATTGCACCACTGCACTCCAGCCTGGGAGACAGAGTGAGACTTCATTCCCCCCACAAAAAAGAAAATAACTGAGACTGGATAATTTATAAAGAGAAATAAGTGGTTTATTTGGGCTCATGTTGTGCAGGCTGCCTTTGAAACATGGTGCCAACATAAGCTTCTGGTAAGGCCTCAGGAAGCCTTCACCTTGACAGGAGGCAGAGGGGAGCAAGCATCCAAGGGAGCAGGACTGGGGGAGGAGGAGAGGTGCCAGGCTCTTTCTAACAGTCAGATCTCAGGAAAACAAATAGGGCACCAAGCCAGTCATGAGGGATCCACTCTCATGACCCAGACACCTCCCACTAGGCCCCACCTCCAACATTGGGAGTTACATGTCAGCATGAGAGATTTGGAGAGGACAGGTATCCAAACCATAGAACACTCCTCTTTGAAATCGGTGTCGTCTTCTCCCTAATTGATGAAATCTCTAATTTGAGAAGCGCTCTTTGATACTTTCTATTTTATTTTATTTTTATTTTTATTTTTTTGAGACAGAATTTCAATCTTGTTGCCCAGGCTGGGGTGCAGTGGCACAATCTCAGCACACTGTGACCTCTGCCTCCCGGGTTCAAGTGATTCTCCTGCCCCAGCTTCCTAAAGGGCTGGGATTACAGGCATGCACCATCATGCCTTGCTAATTTTGTATTTTTAGTAGAGATGGGGTTTCACCATGTTGGCCAGGCTGGTCTCGAACTCCTGACCTCAGGTGATGCACCCACCTCGGCCTCCCAAAGTGCTGGGATTACAGGCGTGAGCCACCTCGTCTGGCCCCTTTTTAAAAGTTTTAACATCTGATCCTTTTCCTCTTCATTCTGTCTCTTTCGTCATCCTTAAATGTTTGAATTTCCATGTTGTTGATACACACAACAGTAATACTCTTCAGCTTCCTAACTCTACTTTATTCCTGCTACTTCTGTGCTAACTCCCACATAAACTGAAGTGCCCTTAAGATCGCAAACTCTGAAACCACACTCTCTAACTAGAGCCTTTTCTCTTTGTTTCTCCCTATCAAAGTTAAATCTACTCCACGGTCTTCGTTTCACCGCTAGTTCTTCAGCATTCTTTTTTATCTCTTGATTTTATCTGTTGTGTCCAGGCTGGTCTTCTTTTCTTCCCATTTAAATATAAATTTTACATTCTCAAATTGAACTCACATATTCACTCCTCGATCTGCTGCCGCTTCTGTGTTCTCTAACTTACTGGATGGCACTTTTTTTTTTTTTTTTTTTTTTGAGACGGAGTCTCTCCGTCATCCAGGCTGGAGTGCAGTGGCACAATCCTGGCTCACTGCAATCTCCACTTCCTAGATTCAAGTGATTCTCCTCCCTCAGCCTCCCGAGTACCTGGGATTACAGGCACCTGCCACCATGCCCAGCTAATTTTTTTGTATTTTTAGTAGAGACAGGGTTTCACCATATTGGTCAGGATGGTCTCCATCTCCTGACCTTGTGATCCACCCGCCTCGGCCTCCTGAAGTGCTGCAATTACAGATGTGAGCCACCGCCCAGCCTGGCTGGCACTTTTATCCACTAAGACGCCCCGATCAGAAAACGATTTCACGCTGTCCTTCACCTCTGACTTTTAACCAGTCAGTAAGTACAGATATGAGTTTCTAATGTTTCCTTAAATTCCTTCCCTCATTAGAACTTTTCTTATGGAAGCTGTGATCGCTGGATTTGTCTACTCCATTTCTTCCTAGCTTGTCTCGCCTCCTTCCTTACGTTCCCGACACTGCAGCCAGAAGCAATCTTTTTTAAAGATACATTTGATCACCTGACTCTGGTTTAAAATCCCTCAGTGGATTTTCACTGCCTTCGGGAGAGTCTCCACAGCCCTTCCCGGGCCGACGACATCTGTCAGAATGTGGCTCCCTTTTGTCCTCCAGGGCTGCTGCTGCTTTTCTCGTCTCACATCGTATGCCCCAGTACACTCCGCTGTCATCGAAGGCAGGAGGCCTTAGGGAATGAACATGGGCTTGCTAGCGTTAGCCAGACCAAGATTCAACTTCCGGCTCCGCCATTCACTGGCTGTGTGACCTTGGACAGGTTCTTTTAACTTCTCTGTGCCTTGGTGTTTCCTCATCTGTAAAATGGAGAAAGATGTGACTCATAGGATTGTTAATGAGGCCTACATTTAAAAATGCATATTGGTTATCTTATGCAAACCCTGGCACAAAATATTTTCTCAATAAATAACGGTCGTGGGGATAACCCTGCTGATTACCCCATACTCTTCCCAGCCTCCGAGTCTTGGAACATACCATGCACATTCTTCTCCATTCCGCTGCCTGGAAATTTTCTCTAGCCTTACATATCTTAGCTTACATGGTACTCCCTCTAGGAAAGCTCTGACCTCTCATGTCTAGATTTCATGTACTCCTTATATGCCTTAAAGCAGGGTTTTTCAGTCTTGGCACTACAGACATTTTGAGCGATGTAACTCTTTGTCTTGGATGCTGTCCTGCATATTGTAGGATGTTTAGAAGCATTCCTGGACTCTGCCTGCTCGATGCCAGCAGCTCACACCCTCCTCCCCCAAGCTGTGAAACCAAAGATGTCTCCAGACATTGCCAAATGTCCTCTGGAGGGCAAACTTACCCCTGGTTAAGAACCACTACTTATTATAGCATTCATCAAAATGTATTATTATTGCTAATTTGTCTGTATCCTTCATTAAACTTTGAAGAGTTTAATGTTTGAAGAGTTTAGTTCT